CTTCCCCTGCAACTCAAATTCTCAAAAATCAAAACAAAACAACGCAAAACTTTCTCCACAGAGTTGAGATTAATTAATTTCATTTGAGTACTGCCACAATCGAATTATCCTAAATAAACTTCTTAAAGCTCCCTCAAAGGACACCAACTCTGAAATAAATTCATTTGTCACAGCTTAAATTTTGTAGCTTTTTGCCCAAATAATATTAATGCATTAATAAGTGAAATATCACTCACCCTAAATAAGCTTGAAGAAAACAATGTTATAATTGACTTCACGACAACACACTGACAAAGGAAATGTCGAGACGTCTCCATTTGTAGTGGGTACACAGCGCCCTCTGCTGCCCAAGCTGAGGAAACTTCAACCAAGCGAAAAGTATCCACAACCAATTGAAGCACTGGCAAAAAAATTGCTGGGAAATCTGAAGCTGAGACTTGTATTTTGCATTTTGGCATATTACCGCTGCATAGATTTTGAAGTTCTCTATATGCAGTGAAACATTTTCCTCCACACATTCCTCAAGTTGTTAGTCTGATCCTTTTTTCTCTCATCTGTATTTACAGTTGGAGCAGTGTATTCAGGGAGAACCCCTGAAAGACCACAGTGAAGATGAAATCTGAGGGTCTCCTCCCTCTCTGCTCCATCTCTCAAACTAGGGAACTGGGCACGCACAAATCCATAAGACTCTGATTCCAATTCCAAACCATCTAAACCTGCCCAACTGGCAAATGAGAAGAACAGAAGACAAAACATTTTATTTTGAAAAATGGGACAAATGTTATTTATCATCAAAAAAAAAATGCTCCATCAACATTAAGAAATGGAGAGTTATGTAAGGGAATCTGAAGGTCTAAATTTTTAGTATGTTACAGTCTGTTGAAGGCACAATGGATCTTAAAATATTCAATGGAAGATGCTTCATGACAGTCAAGGCATTTTTAAGTACAAGCACTTAAATATATTTTCTGCAATGAAATATATTCAAAATTCACTTTAATAACAGTTAAATATATAATAGTTTAAATATATAATATAAAACTATACAAAGTCTAATTTTAGCATATGTAATTAACATCACCTGAAACTGCTTCGAAATATGGGCTGTTAGTCAAAAATGACTAGAGAGACAAAACATTTAAAAATACATGATAAATTTCTGGAAGCTGAAGAATGTATTAGACTTCCATTTGTCTTGACATAATTGGTCTTTCCTTAATATAATCCAGTTTCATTCAAACTAAACCTAAAAATTGAAAACATTTATCCTTGTGAGGAAGATACAAAAATGCTAACGGTGTGATACAAATGGATGAAATAATTAAAGAGCAGTTAAGAAAAAATGAAATGCTGTTTTAAAAGAAAGAGAATGTGCCCCTTATCTAGCATATTTTAAGGTAAGCTTCCGATTTTTAATAACCAAAATTTGGAGCACCCTCTAGTGGAAAACTGGTGACAAGAAGCTTAAAACCTGTTTCTGAAATTTTATAGTTTCCATAAAACAAGGATCTATGACGTCGGAGAAAAAAGTACACTAGGCAGAACTTTCTTTCCAACTCTTATTCTTAAAATAGTCCCATCGACACGCACACACAAGTCCAACAGAAAAAGGTCTCTTATTTATCAATTTCCAAAAGAAGAGACGAGTAAGACCTGAGAACGTAACATTACAGATGTAATGCTACTGTGTAAAGAACTCTGCTGTGGTTACAAAATGAGGATAATATAAAAACAAATGGAGTTACTCTGGCAGTTTGATTCTTGTGGTTAAAAGATTCAACTGAAAAAGAGAGCTAAGAAAACAATAAAGGAAAACTTTTTCCAAATTACAGTTGTCTCCAAACACTGCATCACGTTTTATAACTATCCTTTGTAAATTTGGCAAGAAATTCCATAACAATCTGATTACACTCCTTCAGTCTTGGTTATTAAAGGGAGCCTGGCCTTGATACAGACGTGGTTACCACGTGCGAATTCCAACACGGGTAACTGTTCACACCAATAATTTAAAACTGAATATATAAAATTCTAGATTACACGAAGTAATAGTTATTCTATTAATAAACCCTTTTTATATTAATTTATTTTATATTTTATAGTTAATTTTATATTAATTAATTAAATTATTATTAGATCACAACTTGGAGGAATGCTAACAAAATAGATGATGGCCTCACCTGAAAGACCATTTTAAGGGGATTTTAAAATCTATTTTCTGTGGAAGGCTGAAAAACTTGGATTATTTGGCACAGGGAAGAAAAGGGTACATAGAGGAGCAGAAATATTTATTCTTTCATTAGTTCAACAGTGATTTATCAAACACTGTAGCTAGGTTTGCACAAGGCTCTGGAGGCATGGTGGCAAACTGGACAGACAAGGGCCCCGCTCATGGAGGCACAGCCCGAAACGGAGAAGACGATGACGAGAAGCCAGCAGACTCCAGGAGGGCCAGGATCTGTCTGTTCTGCTCAATTTGGTAACCCCAGCACCTAGAGAAATACCTATCACATAGGTGCTCAATAGGTACTTGTTGAATTATATCAAAAAGGAACTTCAGCTAGTGGTTAAGTGCTAGAAAGGAAACAAAACAGAGAAATGAACAAAGTAATGGAGAGGCGTCCCGTGGCAGGAATGTATTATTTCACACTGGAGAGACAGAAAAGGCTTCTCTAAAAAGATGTCATTCAAACGCAGACTTACTAAGCAAAGTCGGACCTGCAAAGACCTGACAGAAGAGCTTTCCAGGAAGAAACAAGAAGGGCACTTGCCCAAGCCAGGAGTGCTTTTACATTCAGACGTTCTAGCTGGTCGGTGTGCCGAGGCCACAATGGCTACAACAGAGTTCAGACTTTACTCATACACACTGGGCAAAAAGATATTAGTGGCTTCGAATGGGGTCAAAGACGTGGAAATGAAGGAGAGGGTAACTTAAAGATCTATTTTGTGGGTGAGCAGTACATACAATTTGCTAATAGGTTCGATATGTGAGATGAAGCCAAGGGTGGGGTTAAGAATGGCTCTCAGGTCTGAGTCCTGAACAACTGGGTGGAGATGTAGCTACTTACTGAGCTGGGAAAGCGAAGTGAGGGCCAGGTTGTTAGGCGGGTAGTAAAGGGAACAATGTTTACACCTGGCCATATATTTAGGATTTCAAGTGAACAGTTGGGTGTTTGTCTGAAGCTAATGGAATGGACTGAAGCAGAGGAAGTTTGGAAGCTGACTGCACAGAGATGGTGTTTAAAGCCATGGGACCGAGGAGTCATCAGGACGAAGGCGGAAGAGTCTGATTATTTCACGTAATTCCAAGGGCAAAAGGTTGAGAAAGACAGGTTAATGTGAATTAAGAGCAGTTTGATTAAAGAAAGACCATTCTAACCTTCTAACTAGAGCTGGGCACTAAGACACTGTGTTGTCTGCATACATTATGGGCTTGCCACTAAAGGAGGTATTTCAAGAAGGGCTAGATGACCATCGTAGGGTCTCTGCTAAAGAGATCCTTCCAAGGGATAGGAGTTCCCCTGGACATCCTTCTAAGGTGCCATCAAAGAGACTTCTAAGACTATGAT